TCCCGCCGCCGCCGCTGCTGCTGCTGCTGCTGCTGCTGCTGCTGCTGCTGCTGCTGCTGCTGCAGAGCATGTGGGTGCCGCAGTCTGCGCTGGGGCTGATTTACCTGGGCCTAAAACTCCGCAGAGATTTGGGGGTGAGGCCTTTCACAGTTTTGCCCTGCGACAACATCCCCAGCAACGGCAAGGTGAGGCTCTTACGCACAGCTAGCTAGCTAGCTAGCTAGCTGGCTAGCTGGCTAGCTGGCTAGCTAGCTAGCTAGCTGGCTAGCTAGCTAGCTGGCTAGCTGGCTAGCTAGCTTGCTGGATGGCTAGCTAGCTGGATGGCTAGCTAGCTGGATGGCTAGCTGGCTGGACTGCTGGCAACTGGTTTTGTATCGCTAGCTAGCTGGCTGTCTGTCTGTGTTGGTGGCTAGCTAGCTGGCTAGCTGGCTGGCTAGCTAGTAACACCATTTGCTGCACCATTTGCTGCATTTGTTAACTAGCATTTATTTGCTGCCATTTGTTATTTTTTAACTTTTTGTTTATTTGCTTTTTGTCGCTAATTTTATTTATTTTTCATTTATTTATTTGTTCATCGATTTATTGTTTGTTGTTTAGCTATTTATTTATTTCTTCATCTTTTATCATTTATTTGTGTATTATTTATTCATTTATTTATTTATTTATTTTTACTCATTTATCTATTTATTTATTTACTTATTTATTATTCATTTATTCATTTATTCATTTATTTATTTGTTTGTTTATTTATTTATTTATTCATTTATTTATTCATTTATCTATTCATTTACCTATTTATTTATTTACCTATTTATCATTTATTTATTTATTTATTTATTTATTTATTTATTTATTTATTTATTATTTTGTTTGTAGTCTTTTCTTATGCTGCTTCGATTGCACATTTGCTGCTGCCACTTCACATTTCTTTTTAAATTTAAGTTTATTCATTTCTTTTTGATTTGATTTAATTAATTTAATTTTTTTTAATTCTTTTCAATTTAATTTAATTTAATTTAATTTAATTTAATTTAATTAACTTTAATTTAATTTAAGTCGATGTCGTTTATCTTCATTCTGTGGCTTCATGTTTTATTTGCAAGTTAAAGAACTCCAAGTTGAATTCAACTCGCCACAAACCCTAAACCCTAAACCCTAAACCCTAAACCCTACACCCTAAGCCCTTGAGAGGGTTTTAAGTATATCTTTGCCATTTCTTTTTTTTGCAGCTCCTCAAGAAAATGGTAATTCAATTTGCTTCAGAAGTGGATGTTGAAATGGCCGCCTGGATCAGCAAAAATGTCTCGTAAGGGTTTAGGGTTTAGGGTTTAGGGTTTAGGGTTTAGGGTTTAGGGTTTAGGGTTTAGGGTTTAGCGCATGCGTATGAAGTGGTATTTTTGTGGGAGTGAAAGTCTAAAGGGGAAAATAAAAAAGTAAAAATAAAATATAAAATTGTGGACCTTTAAAACCCTTTTGAATCATTAAAACCCTTTTAAGTCTTTAAAATCCTTTTAAAACATTTTAAAAACATTTTTGGAACATTTTTAAAACATTTTTGAAACATTTTAAAGACATTTCAAAAATATTTTAAAAATATTTTAAAAATACTTTTAAAATCTTTCAAAAATTCCATTAAGTCCACGATTAGCGCTGCAGATTTTGTTCATTTTTCTGATTTTTCGAATTTTTGAATTTTCTTTTTTTCGGATTAATTTTCGTTCATTTTTTCTGGAAAAAGAAGGGGTTGAATCTGCGCGGGCTTGCGGTTTCGAATCTGGGCTTGGTTTGCTGCTGCTGCTGCTGCTGCTGCTGCTGCTGCTGCAGCTTCCCCTGCACCATGGTAGACCGCATCACCCCAGCCACCAGCAGCGAACACGTGGCCCTTCTCGCAGAGGACTACGGCGTGGGGGACAAGTGGCCGGTGGTGGCCGAGGAATTCCGGCAGTGGGTGATAGGGGTCCGTTTTGGGGCTTTTTTCGCGCATGCATGCGCCTGGGGGGCCCCCGGGGGGCCCCCCTGGGGGCCCCTTCAAACCGCTTTAGTCTCTGCGAGAAATCTGCAAAAAAAACCAAAAAGAACGGACACAAAATGAGAGAAAACCCTAAATTCGAAAATAGCGAATTCGCACTCGCCTCTAGGGACTTCAAACCCTTTTTGAGGGTTTTCGGAAATTCGGAAACTCCCTCGAAACAAAAGGGACGCTTAAAAGCCCTTTTGCCCCTCCATCGCCCCTATATGCACTAAAAGTCGACAAAAGGGTTTCAAGGGTTTCAAGGGTTTCAAGGGCTTAGGGTTTAGGGTTTAGGGTTTAGGGTTTAGGGTTTAGGGTTAAGGGTTTAGGGTTTGGTGGCAGTTTTTTGGAGGGTTTCTCGAGCTGTGGGAATTTGTCAGGTTCTGGGGTTTGGGGGACCCAAGAAAAAAGACCACTTCCACGTGCCGGAAGGGTTTAGGGTTTAGGGCTTAGGGTTTAGGGCTGAGGGTTTAGGGTTTGGGGCACTTGTTTGGAGGTTTCTCGAGCTGTAGGAATCGTGAGGCTGCGGGGTTTGGAGGACCCGGCGGGCGTGTGCGTGGAGTTGCGTTTAGGGTTTAGGGTTTAGGGTTTAGGGTTTTGGGTTTCAGGAGAACTTCTGCAACGAGCGCCCCTTTCTGGAAGCCGTCGGCGCAGTCTTCACCAAAGAAGTTGAACACTTCGAAACCCTCAAACTCCAACTCCTCAACGCCGCCCACAGCGCCCTCGCCTACCCCGCCCTTCTCCTCGGCTACCGCTTCGTCGACGAGGCCCTCACGGACGTCAGGTTAGCTAGCTAGCTAGCTAGCTAGCTAGCTGGGTGGCTAGCTAGCTAGCTAGCTGGGTGGGGGGGAGTGGGGGGGTGGGGCTGAGTAGGTAGGTGGGTAGGTAGGTACCAGTTCGTCGACGAGGCCCTCGCAGACGTCAGGTCAGCTAGCTAGCTGGCTAGCTAGCTAGCTAGCTAGCTAGCTGGGTGGCTAGCTAGCTGGCTGGCTGGGTGGGCAGTGGGCGGGTGGGTAGGTACATACCAGTTCGTCGGCGAGGCTCTCAGAGACGTCAGGTTAGCTAGCTAGCTAGCTAGCTAGCTGGGTGGCTAGCTAGCTAGCTAGCTGGGTGGCTAGCTAGCTAGCTAGCTAGCTGGGTGGCTAGCTAGCTAGCTGGGTGGCTAGCTGGGTGGAGGGGAGGGTGGGTAGGTAGGTAGCTGGCACTTTGTCGACGAGGCCCTCACAGACGTCAGGTCCGCTAGCTAGCTAGCCGGCTGGCTAGCTAGCTAGCCAGCTAGCTGCGTGGCTTGCTGGGTGGCTAGCTAGCTAGCTAGATAAGTGGATGGCTAGCTAGCTGGCCAGCTGGGTAGGTGGATGGCTAGCTAGCTGGCGAGATAGGTGGGCAGATGAGGGAGTAGATGGCTAGCTGGCTGAGCACATCATGGGCTAGCTAGCTCGACAGTTAGCTAGCTAGCTAGCTGGACAGCTAGCTAGTTAGCTAGCTAGCTAGCTAGCTTGCGAGTTAGCTGGGCAGCTGGACCGCTGCACAGCTAGCCCTCTAGCCAGCTAGCTGGCTAGCTAGAGAGCTGTCCATCCATCCAACTATTTAGCTAGCTAGCTAGCTCAGTAGCTAGTTACCTATATATCTATCTCGCAAGCTAGCTAGCTAGCTAGCTAGCTAGCTGAAAAAGCAAACAAAACAAGCAAAACAAATAAAACAAATAAAACAAATAAAACAAATAAAACAAAACAAACAAATCAAAGAAACCAAATAAAAGAATGAAACAAAATAAAACGCAGATAAAATAAAACAAAACAAAATACAACAGAACTAAATAAAGCAAAATAAAATAAAGTAGAATAAATAAAACAAATTATACAAAACAAAATAAAATAAGACAGAGAAAATAGATAGATAAATAAACAAATGAACAAACAAATAACTAAATAAATAATAAATAAATAATAAAATAAATAAATAAATAATAAATAAATGAATAATAAAATAAA